GGTTTTTTTTTTTTTTTTTTTTAGTTTGGGATTTAAAAATTTTGTTTGGAATAAGTTTTTTGAATTTTTTAATTTTTGTAAAAAAAAAATAATAATTACAAAATAAATGTAACATTTATTATATTTAATTAAAATAATTTATTTTATTTTATAATTAAAATAATATATTTTAATATCTTATATGAATATTTTAGTCTAAGGGCATGCCAAACGAACCTAAGGAGTGATTAATAAGTTTAAAGGCGACGTCGTTTCAGAGTTGGTGCGGTATTTTCTCTCTCATGGGTTTTTTGCTTTCCACGTGTATTAAACACGGATAAATTTTTTACAGTCAATTTTTTGGTCCTTTTATATTATTATTTTTTTGTTCTTTTGACAATATTGACTGTGAGTGTTGAGGTGTCGTGATGATGTGGTTCTCGAATCCGTGAATGGTTATTGTTCGATCACCTGCTTTTTTTATTTTTTTACTATTATTTATTAAATTAAGTTAAATTTTAATTAAAAGTTTGATCTCTTTTTCTTTAAGGCAAATTACAAATACTCCTTCGAGATTTGATAAAAATACAGATTTTTTCTTGAGATTTGAGAAATTACAAATTGTCCCTTGAGGTTTTTATTTTCATACAGATTCTCCCCTAATTTGTTATGCAAATTTGACATTCAGGGAGCAATTTGCAATTTCTCAAATCTCAGGAAAATTTGTATTTTCACCAAAGCTCGAGGAGGGTATTTATAATTTGCCCTTTTCTTTAAATGGTTTACTAATTTGGAAATTTATTCTTTCTATACCACTATCTTCTATATTATATCATACTTCATTTTGTGTATCTGAGCTCATAATGATATTCTGAATCGTTTATTGTAATAAAAAAAATTAATTTTATCGGATATTGATAAAAGATGAAAATCATATTTCATTTTATAAAATTGATAGTTTAAGTTTAAAATTATAGCTATCGTACATTTTAAAAAAATAAAATATAATTTACTCAAATGTCTAATAATATCTTATAAAACTGATTTTTTTTATATAACTCTTCTTTGTTGTTGAGCCTATGATATAAATAATTCAAATAATCGTAGTGGGCTCGAGAAGGGGCCTAAAAATCAATTATGAAGGAATTTGGAGGACAATGGTATGAAAGAAAGTCATTCCGGTTTATTAAAAAATGTGGTAGTTATTGAATATAAGGAATATTATTGAAACAGTAATGCTATATCCTCATTTTGGATCCCAAATTTTGAATTTCCAATAATATGATATGCATTTATTGAATAATTTTTATATTTTAGTAGAATTTTTATTTGATGTGATTTATGACACATCAGTTGGAGTTGGTTTGGAGCTTCAAAATTGGAGGTCTAAAACATTTTCTTTATTGAAAAATCAAAAGAACATGACAAACTTACAAAGGTATTTACTTGATATAATAAAATATAATAGTAGATATGTACGTGACTTTTGAAATCTCAATCAGTGTACTTGGTTTTAATTTTTTAAAAATTGAATTTTTTATATTTCATATTTATTTTTTTCAGTGAATATTTTTAAAATTTTAAGCAATTTTTTATTTTTTTAGATGCATCTTAATTAGATGTATGTAAAAAGTAAAATATTTATTAAAAAAATCAATAAATATACAAGAATATGAAAAATGTACTGAATTATAGTATTTTTTTCATATTTTTGGTATTTAGTAAATTTTCTAAAGATTTTTTCACAAATATTATATTTTTTAAGTGTATTTATGTTAGGCATATTTAAAAATAAAAAAAAATTAGTTAGAATATTTAAAAATATTCAATATAAACAAAAAAAAAAAAAAAAAAATTCTAAAAAGTAAATCTTGAAAACTCAAATCAAACCAGCCGAATGTTTTTCTGATGTTATGAACATGTGTCTCCTTAATGCATATGTTAGGATAATTTTGGAAAAATAATTTTTCTTAACGTGGTTGAGTTTTTTTCAATTTAAAATTTGAATTTGATAGTTATATTAAGGTCCGTTCATAGGTCCTATTTTAATAATCTAAACATAATAAAATGAAAATATTACGATTATCGAATTGATTTAATTTTTTTATGAATAATATAAACAAGGAGTTTTAAAAAATAAATAATTTAAATTATCAAAACATGATTTATGATGAGTCCCTATGGGCCTAGATATCACAATTAAATTTCGACTCCGTTTAGCAAGGGCTTTTGTGGCTATTTTAGCCACAAAATACGAAATAGGCTATTTTAGCTATAACAAACAAAACATCACATCTAACTCATAATAATTACACTTTTCTCTAAAAAAAAAAGCCAAAAAAGCCAAAAAGTCCTTCCCAAACCATGATTTTTAGCCCAGACTAAAATAGCAAAAAAAGTCAAAAATTCAAAAAGTCAACTCACTTCCCAAACGGAGGCTAAAACTTGAAACAAGACTAATCTTATCTTATAAGGTGGTGTTTGGGAAGTCAAACTTGGGCTAAAATAGCCATGTCACGACAAAGGTGCCTTTTTTAGCCACATGGGGACAAAACCTTCACAGGTGCAGCCCAACAGCCAATGCCAAGGTCAATTTACGAAATTACCTCCACATGTTAATTTTGGGCATCACCATCAACTGCAGCACACAAAAATTAATAAAAAAAAAACTTTTTCCCAAAACACACCTTTTCGTAAATTTAACAAAGAAAGTTGAAAAAAAAAAAATTAAAACATTTTTTTGTTTTTTGTTAAAATATTTTATAAAAATAAATTCAAATTCTATTTATAAAAATATTTTTAAATATTTTAATTTTTTTGTTATGTATTTGGTTATTTTTGGAGTGTAGAATTGTGAAAGTAGTATGGAGTTTTGAGTTATGTGTTTGGTTATGAGTTTTAAAAATAATTTATTAATTGAGTTTTATTTTATGTGTTTGATTACGATTTGAGTGTAGAGTTGTTTTTAAATTTAAAATATTAATATTTTAAATTTTTTTGTTAAAATAATTTTTTGAATATTTAAATTATT